GGCTCGCATTGGACGCCTTGGAGGAAATTATGATATTTAAAAACATAATCAATGGCATCTGATTCCCAATCTTTGAAAATATAGGTGATCTTGACTTTCTATTGAAGTGGAATTTAATATATGAACATAATTTCTCATCACATACGAACTATGTGTGGAATAACTCAGAAGGGTGAGCCTGGCCAGTACCTGGAGGGGAGACTCCTGGGAGAGCTGAGGCTGCTGCTGGGAGAGGTGTGAGTGGGACCAGTAGGGGGTGCTCACCCTGCGGTCTGTGTGGGGCCCCAGTACAGGAACGGGGACACTATACTGTAAAAAAGGCACCATCCTTCAGCTGAGACATAAAACCGAGGTCCTGACTCTCTGGTCATTAAAAATCCCAGGGTGTTTCTTGAGAACAGTAGGGGTGTTACCCCAGCGTCCTGGCCAGATTTCCCCCTGGTCTTTACCCATCCTAAGATGGAAATGCAACTCCAGTCATAATTTGAAAAATAACAAGGCAAAAACGTAAACTTGTGCTCTGATCTGCAATAACCTGATACAGCACCCTGCCAGAATAAAATGAGCAGCCACGTTATGCCCCTGCCCATGCACACGGAACCAGGGCCCTGCAGTCATTTGCAATTATTAGTTGCAGCTCACACCCGACGGAGGCTCCCCGTCCGAAACGTTGCATTTTCTTTCTTCTCTCTTCAGCCTGGAATAAACCTATTACTTGTTCCTAATTATTTACAGTAGATAAGTGACAGTGACGTGTTTTGGTTTGTGTCCTCTTTGTGTACAATGAAGAGAACGGAGGACCCCCCTGCACACAACAACCCAGTCAGCACCGCGGCCCCACGGCCCGAGGGTCCTGGGTTCGAGTCCACCTCCTGTACCTTCCCGGTGGAGTTTGCAGGTTCTCCCGCTTTCCCGAGGTGTGCTTCTGCTGGACTCCACCGCCACCAGCGCCCTCCGGTGGGCAGACAGCTCACAGAAATAAAAGCACGGACACACAGAAGAGCCAGGACTCGGGCGTCGTTTTGGAAAAGTGGATTTTTAATGAATCTTTCATTCGAACGTACATTGTGGCTTGGATATTACAGGCCCTCCACTCACAGTACAATGTATCCCTACATTCCTACCAGTGTAACACAGAAATGATATTCCATTCTCTCGCAGGATCGTCTCTCCAGTCACAGCCTAGATACCCGTCCCCTATAGCACAGGCCACAGGCTCTAGTCCCGTCCAGTCCCCTATAGCACAGGCCACAGGCTCTAG